CAATAACAACTGTAGCCTGTATATGCCCCAAAAGATGGGAAGTGTTTGCACACTATCCGTTAAATGAACCGAGTTGAATTTTCATATTGCCAGTCCTTTTTTTTTTTTTTTTTTAATAATTTTTTTAAGACTCAAAATGGCTCAAAGTTGTATCATCTGTGTGTGAATCATCAGGGGGTCGCGAGGAAACGTGTGCTCACACACCTCTTTATAATTCAGGAGGGCGCGTGCCGCGTGGCAACCTCACGCCTGTGAACAACGCGACGCGTGTGGAGAGTTTCCACGTGTGCATATGAAAAGCAAGCAGATGGGTTTCGTGATTATTCATGGGACTGAAATCACTACGTAAATAGACTCTATTTCATTAATTTTCCGAAAATACTGTAGCTGCATATTTTTCTAACGCCAAAGCTTCGCTCCTCGTCCTCGAATCTGGAACGATTGGTTTAATGCTAAACGCCTAATACGAAGACAGCGCGTTTCTAGCCGTGTTCCCACAGAAATGTACGGTCGTTTGTTCACTGGACAGCCCAGCTGGCTATGAGTGACTAACAAATAACCATGCCACTATGGCTCAAGACCACTGGTAATCGCTCACCATGCTATTACTGTTATTACTTTTGGCGATAGGCTTCAAACAAAGGAAAAGGTGAAAAGAGAAAGACAGTAACAGCCAGTCAGTTCATGACCTGATGCAGCAGCGCAAGTTAAACACTCATGCTATGGAAGTGATGAAAATGAAGACCATATGTGAACGCAGTGTGTGCACTTGCATGTTTATTGAAGAGTAGCGTGGGAACCTTCCCCGTGTCTGTTGATAATGTACAAATTCTGACAGGTAGGCTAATAAAAAAAGGACTGAGGTGTCAGTCTGTGTTTCTAGGTGAGGTGCAAGTTTTTCGTGTTACTGAGAGCTTGGCTAGTAGCTTGTTCCCATCGTAGCACGTTTGAAACGATTGCCTGTTGGTTATGGGCGAATTTTAAATATTTACACAATTGCACGCCCTTTGATGCCTTTTGTGCGACATCCCTGAATTAAAGTTCATTGTTCTCAATTTAGGTGATACGTCACTGCCATGCATATTGAGACATTTTCTATATTTGGAGCATTTTGAAATTAATTTTCTTGACAGCAAGTGTGCCGAATAGTACCGCAAGCCAACCTCCCGAAATGGCGAGCCCGGTCTCATGAAAATGCGTATAAATAGTACGCCAAATAAAAACGAAAACTCGTGGTATTGATACGCAAAAATGGACTTTGGCGTGCATGTGATACGCATGTGTTTGGGGTGCATATGATACGCATGTGTTTGGCGTGCATGTGATACGCATGTGTTTGGGGTGCATATGATGCGCATGTGTTTGGCGTGCATATGATACGCAGTTTTCGCGTACATATGATACGCATCTACCCCACAACCCTAAACCTACCCATCGCGTAGCATATACACGCCAAAGTCAATTTTTGCGTATCAATACCACGAGTTTTCGTTTTTATTTGGCGTACTATTTATAAGCACTTTCATGAGATCGGGTTGAAATGGCTGAAACGAAATACTGAGGTTTGCTTATCTATTTGTGTCCTGAGAGGTTTCTCATAAACCTTCTATTGATTTTTTTTTAAAACAATAGGGTTTTCTGACTTTATTACAGTCAGCAGATTAATCATTCCGCGCTGTAGTTATAGTTTATTCAAATGAATTACGTAGAAAGGCCTATGCATAATATGCTAATCTCCCTAGAAGGACCATCTCGTCTCGCCTGAGCCTCTCTTATTCGGGCAAACACATCCACCCTCACACTTTAATGGTCGCGTGTCATTTAATCTTCGCCTTGTGTATGCAAGCTTGGTCTAACGAATGTCCTTGAGTAGAACATGAAAAACATGCAGGAAAAAAAGAAAATCTGACAGTTCTAGACAGTCTTAAGGGAAGGAATATCGATCTGCAAAACTTCTACGTACACACATTAACTTCATGACCTTGTGGACGGCAGTCTGTATAAATGGTTAATGGCAAACACCACCAAAGTGATGAAAATGACGACTAAATGTGAACGCAGACTGCACTGAGTTCTCGTGTTTATTGGAGAGAAGCGTGGGAACTGGGAACCTTCTCTGTGCTCAGCTAAAATGCACAAATTCTGACAGGTAATAAAAAGAGCTAAGGTGTCTGCGGTCCGTGTTACTGGGAGAGCGTGGTTAATAGCTGGTTCCCATCATAACACTCCTACCTGGTGGCTATTGTCAAGTTTTAAATATTTACACAAGCGCACCAAAATTTAAAATAGGTCTTTTAAAAATAAACGTTCCAAAAAGGGGTTTTCGAATTGATTTTGGAATCCTCAAGGAATCTTTCAAGGATCATTTCTTAAAAGAACACATATTTTACTAAGTGTGAACTTAGTTTTACTTAGTGTTATGTTGCAAAATGTGAAAAAGTCCAAATATACAATTTTATGAAACCAAATGAGATTCAATTAAAACCCACCCAATTAAATCAATGAAATGAAAGTTTGACTATACACCCAAAAGCAGAGTGGCCCGTCGCCCGAGCTTGATTGTCAGCAGCCAAGGCAAATTCACAGTCTTAAAGCGACCACTCTTCCAGAATATAGTTACAGAGAATATTATATTATTGATCTTGAATATAACTCGATCTTGCTTTAAACAGCAGATCTGGCAGCTATGGATCAAACGCTCTTTTCTTCACCAGCAGCAGGCGGCGACGGCATCCAAACAGAACACTTGTAGGCTATATACATCGACACACGTTTGGTGTTAACAAGATGTGTCAACAGAACCATTATAAGAATAGCTTCACACCGAGAAGGACGTGTGCTCTTTCACTTCTAAACGAACTGGTTACAGTTTCCCACGGGAACCACTCTCAGTAAACCATGTCTCAAATGACTGAGCATGCACATATAAAATAAATAATAAAAAATTCATCATTAGCAAATCATTTGTTAAAAGTTAGTTGATTTACGTCGAAGAATGTAATACATGCATCTCATACACATACATATAGCATATATGAATAAGTCTTCAGTAATAGCTATAGGCTACATCAAGCATTTCCCAAACAATCCTTCAAAGCCACATTGTTTCCTGGTTTTCTGGAGCTCATTGTTCACTTGTTTTTGAACTTTCATAAGTTCTTTTACACCCTCAGAGAGGAACTGCCAATCAGTTGCGCCAAAATACACCCATAATGATAAACTGTGAAGATATCATAAAGGACTTTTACTGGAACTTGGCCTTTATTACATGCATCTATTTTGTGTTTCTGTTTTGTGTTTTATGTATTTATTCACGTCAATATTCAATCATAATTGTTGTTCAGCAGTGTCATTTTTGCTGATTTCCCATGTCAGTATGACAAACTATGGTTAATTAGGGTTTAAGTTTGGCTACTGACAAACTGAACTCAGTGATCTATGGACTAATAAAGTCTTAGTGGGACATGTCATCCAAATATTGAAGGGAATAATTGGTTTATATTTTGGAGTATTGAATCAACTCTATCACATATTCAAAGATTTGTACTAACTTTGTAAAAAAAAAAAAAAAAAAAAAAAAAAAAAGGTTTTTACTTTTTATTAAGCAGGTCGTATATGTGGAAATGTTGCTTCTTTAGAGGCAAATGGACCTGGAATGTTTCCCATCACTGATTTGTAAACACAATAAGATGACTAAAGCTAAGGCAGATCTTTAGTAGCACTAAACCACTTGTCTTAAGCCAGGGGTGTCTCCAACACACATACCATGTAGTTTTCAAATAAGCCTGAAGGACTTGATTAGATGGATCAGGTGTTTAATTAGGGTTGGATCTAAACTCTCCAGGGCTCCGGTCCTCCAGGAATTGAGTTCGACACCCCTGTCTTAAGCCATCTTGCAGAACAATTGGAAGTTTACTGAGGCCCTCTAGTGGAAAAACACTTACATTTCCAACACCTAGACATGCGAAATTTTGAACAAGTTCCGCGTGGTTCCCTGATGCACTAAAATTCTACGTAAGAACGTTCTACTTGCTGGATGCATTATTCATAATTTATTGATTCTGCCTAATTCCTCTTCTTCACCTTTAAAATGTTCCTTTCTAAAATAGCCTACCGCTTATATACTGCATTCAGAAAGTCTTCCAGTTTTATGGACATTCAAACAAGTGTTTCAACATTGCATCAACTACTGATGAACACATACATTTTTATTTTAATTATCGCTCAGTGGGTTATTTAACCATGTATCACTGTGCCTTTGTAAGATTCACGCTATTTCTTATTTACATGTAATGCATTCCCAAACTTTTTTTGTCATCTGAACCTCTTTCACACAATATTTACTTGAAATACCCCTGAGATTTTAAAATACATTTTTAATAATTAAATCACAATTTAAAAAGTTCACGGTTTTCTGAGGGTGGTTAGTGAACACCTGACATGCAGGTAAACAAATAAAATATTTCATTTTGTTAGTAAGTGTTTTGATTGATGCTGTTTTAAAATGATTTATTTATTTGACATTTTTATGATTTAATGAATTATTCGTTTTTCATTGAACTCGAACCCCCTAGGGTTCTGCAGTTCCTTTACGAACCCCAGTTTGGGAAACCTTGATGTAATGTAATTTAATGTTTAATGCACTAATTTAATGTTGTTAATTACAATTAATGGAATACATTTTCTTACTCTTTGTATTTTCTATCAATTTGGTACAAGATTATCCTATTTAAATCAATGTGATAAACAAGTTAGGTCAAAAGTAATCTAAAAGTAATCAAAAAGTAGTCTGATTACATTACCTAAAATGTGTAATGTAATGGATTATGTTACAAACTACAATTTTTGTCATGTAATTTGGAATCAGTAACGGATTACAACTTGTAAGTAATCTACCCAGCTCTGTCCATCGGGTTACTTTGCCATCCAGCTTGGTCTATTTTATGGTTGGTCATGGGCTATTATTGTTCCAGACTTTTCGATAGCGTTTACTTGCCCTCTACAAACACGTGCTCACACTATGCTGAAAGCGTGGCTAATTCACACCTCTGTGCAACAGGCGTTCAGGTGCCGAAAGTTTCCACGTGCCCGTTTGCTCTGTTGTTCAGTAATGGTCCAGCAGGTGAGCTTATGCTAAGTTTTACATTTGACTAATTGGTCGACGGCCATCAGACAGTGCGGATGCTATCAGAAACCAACATAATGGTTTTGCATTGGAGAAAGGTGAAATGATTCTAAATTACTGCAACACTTTGCACATTCCATACAAAGCAACTTCATAGCCCGATTTCCGTCAAATTAACTATTAAGGCGATCTGAGAAAGTTACTACATAAGTCATGATATTTATCCGTATGCAGTCTAAACTCAACCCGATCTCATGAAAGTGCGTATAAATAGTACGCCAAATAAAAACGAAAACTCGTGGTATTGATATGCAAAAATGGACTTTGGCGTGTATATGCTACGCGATGGGTAGGTTTAGGGTTGTGGGGTAGATGCTTATCATATGCACGCGAAAACTGCGTATTATATGCACGCCAAACACATGCGTATCATATGCACGCCAAAGTCCATTTTTGTGTATCAATACCACGAGTTTTCGTTTTTATGCAGTCTTAAAAGTGAATAGCCTAACTTTTAAAATAAAGTATCGTAAGACAGACATTTGGTTTGAGCAATACTGAGATTTTGTCACTAAAAAATTGCACTGAACTAAAGCCAACTTTTGATTGTTGTATTAGTTTTTTGTAAGTGACCTCCCCCATTGCAAACCTTGTCGTGTCCTCCCCGTGAACAAGCGTGCTGTGACTGCAATGTAGCCTATGTTCGCGTCCGTTTGTCCATATCAGACTTCACGCCAGATTCACTGTTAAACAGACGTGTCAAAAGAATCATAATACTAATGGAATTATAAGCAAGGGTGTGTATGCAACCACTCCGCTTGACCAAACATTAAACTTTCCCACGGGATTTTTCTTAAGTTTGGTCATGAGGCATGATGCACATGCAGGGGTCAAAAAGTGAAGCACCACATGGCCAATTCAATAATTTAGTATAGGCAAAATTGTCAATTCAGGAAAAGCAACCTTATCCTGTGAGCGACATTTCATCCATTTGACGTTATTGTTCTTGGTAAGCATGCCATCAGAGATTACCAAGTGGCGTTTTGTAACATATTTGCTTTGCTCTCCTTAAAAAAAATATGCTTAGACTTTCTCATTATGAATTATTTCCTTTCTTTGTTTAAAGTAGGCTACACTCACTGTGGAAAAGCAAAAACTCGGAACGAACGCATGTTTAGCATATTAAAACTGTATAATGATGAACAAAGTTCTACTTTAATATATGCATGTTAAGTAGGCTAGAGATTTAATTACGCATTTCAAGTTTAGACCAGTCAGCTATGTTTATTTGGTGTTTATTCGTTTCTTCACTGCATCTCTATGGCACGCCAAACACATGCGTATCATATGCACGCGAAAACTGCGTATTATATGCACGCCAAACACATGCGTATCATATGCAAGCCAAAGTCCATTTTTGCGTATCAATACCACGTTTTTATTTGGCGTACTATTTATACAGACCGGGCTCTTATTTCTTAATGGGCATTTATGAGGATTTAGAGTTTTAAAAATTCTCAAGTTCACCTTTTTTTTTAATTTTTTATTCAAACTAAAGTTTTAGGGTTTTATATTTTAAATGTAAATTTAAATTATAACGTGATTCGTCTAGATCTTGAAACCCGTAATAGAGAAGAAACGGAGAGACCGGATTAACCAGCGTTTAGATGAGCTGCGAACGCTTCTCCTGGATAACACTTTAGACTCGGTAAGAAAAGAAATCCAGTTTTTAATCCACCTCTCCCTTTATGATAGAAATATGTTCTTTTAAACGTAGGCTAATGAAATGTTTCAGTAGCATAATTCATTTACATTCGCTTTTACAGCGACTTCAAAACCCCAAACTGGAGAAGGCTGAAATTCTGGAATTAACTGTTGAATACATTCGGACAAAAGCCACAGCTGCGAGAGATCGTCTAGGTAAGTTTTCTGTCTATACTTAAATCATTTTAAAAGAGTGTGCTTATTCCCACATTTTATTATAAACATCATATTTTTGGCCTTATATTTGTGTAAAGCTCTAAAAAATGCTGGGTTAAATGCAACCCAGTGCTGGGTAAAATAGGGACAAACCCAGCAATTGGGTTGTTTCTTTAGCTATACACATGATGCTGCCGAGTTTGATGAGTCTAATTGATTTTGTCTCTGTCTCTTTCCCCTCCTGTTTTTATTATCCTCAATTCCTAAATCTAACCCAAAATAACTCCATATATTGACTTTTCATTTTGGCGATCAATGAACCAAACCCATTTTCTTTTTCTCCTAAAATCCTCCTCCTCTAACTCTGCTTAAATTCTCGATTTTTCCTCAATTTCTTGATTCTCTTCTCAAACGTTCCTTTGAATGAACCGTCAATAACAACCCTAAATCAACATCTCATGTTGTTCTTTCTCACCTAAACACTTTTCCTTTTTTGTACACCTTTACCTCCATGCCTCTCGGCTCTCCTTAACCTCACCCTCCACCTCAGGCGACTCTAACAAAGACTCGGACCCTCATGATGCTAACGCTCCGACTCTGCTCTCAAGGAGACCCCACGTACCCTTCGCTTCAGTCCCCGAGTCTATCAGTGTCCAGAAGCAGATGCCCTCCAATCCTATCTACAAAGCTGGTTTTAAGGAGTGTGTCTCCCGCCTGGCCAGCTTCATCGAATGTGTAGAGCCTTCCCAGCGAGACGGCTTCGTTCAGGGCCTGTGTCACCACCTTGACTCCTACAGCAGTACTCTTTCCCAGTGTAGAGTTTCCAGCCAAGCTGCCCACCATCCGTGGATCCCAAATGCAGAGTTGACATGCAGGACGGACGTCCCTGCGATAGGACACATGAGAGCCAACGCTGAGCCATTTTCCTACACCAATAGTTTGTATCCTCAATCTTTTATGCTCCATCCCACAGGACAGGCCATGCCACATCCCTACCTCTCCCCTCCATACTCCCTCTCTCCTCCACCCTCTCCTTGTTACTCAAGCAGCTCTCCCACATACCTCTCTGTCCCCTGCCATTTCCCTTTCCCTCCCACCATCTCTCCACTCTCCAGTGACTCTTCCTCATCATCTTTCAGTCTCTCAACCCCTGCCGTGCCTATAGTGTTTCATTGAATGTGTTGAGCCTTCACAGCGAGACAGCTTTGTTCAAGGCCTGTGTCACCACCTTGACTCCTACAGCAGTACTCTTTCCCAGTGTAGAGTTTCCAGCCAAGCTGCCCACCACCCGTGGATCCCAAATGCAGAGTTGACATGCAGGACGGACGTCCCTGCGATAGGACACATGAGAGCCAACGCTGAGCCATTTTCCTACACCAATAGTTTGTATCCTCAATCTTTTATGCTCCATCCCACAGGACAGGCCATGCCACATCCCTACCTCTCCCCTCCATACTCCCTCTCTCCTCCACCCTCTCCTTGTTACTCAAGCAGCTCTCCCACATACCTCTCTGTCCCCTGCCATTTCCCTTTCCCTCCCACCATCTCTCCACTCTCCAGTGACTCTTCCTCATCATCTTTCAGTCTCTCAACCCCTGCCGTGCCTATAGTTCCAGGACCTCATGTTCAGGTGGGCTCCCCCACTCGAGTGCGACCCACTGGCTCGACTCCCTCTTGCCAACCCCGGACTCTGAGACGAGCTCTGTTCCACAGCCAGCCACAGTCTGTGTGGAGGCCCTGGTGAGCAAAACCCAAAACACTTAGTGACTCCGAGCAACGTCTTCCCATCAGATCTCCCTTCAGGCATTGAGGAGGCTTGTGGGCTTCACATGGAAAAGAAATGGACGCGAGTGTCCTGTGCATGAGTACAAGTGAAGGCGAGTGAGAAACATTAGGAGCTCTGTGATAATCACACGTGACTCGGTTGTTATTATTGCTCATGTATGTGTGTGCAGTTTTTGCTTTAACTCAATTCCCGCTATCACATTTTTTCTTTGTTCTGCATCCTACTTTCCTATCTGAAATTCTTTATTGTATACAAATTGTGTATATATATTTATTTTGTCCCTATTGTACATTGTAATTTAACAGTACATTTTTTTTACTAAATAAATCTATATAATTTTGTTAATTTGTATTATTTCTTCTATCTATCTATCTATCTATCTATCTATGTTTTTAAAAGAAGTCTCTTCTGCTCACCAAGAATGCATTTACTTGATCAAAAATACAGTAAAAACCATAATATTGTGAAATATTATTACAAGAATAGAAAATAACTTTTCTATTCTTGTAATTTCAAGGCAAAATTTTCTTATCAATGTTGAAAAGAGTTTTGGTGCTTAATATTTTTTTTCTGGAAACCATAATTCACTATACTATTCAAAAGTAAGAATATAAGAATATTAATAATTGAGTACCAATAATAACTGAGCAGCAAATCAGCATATTAGAATGATTTCTGAAGATCATGTGACACTGAAGACTGGAGTAATGATGCTGAAAATTCAGCTTTGATCACAGGAATAAATTAATTTTAAAATGCTTTCAAATATAAAACAGTTATATTATATAATATGCCTCCAGTTATGGATATTTCATGGACAAAAAAAAATTCTAAAACAAGCTTTTAAGAATATATAAGGGAAAAAACAGTATACTTAGCAGTGTCTCATGAATTTCATGTGGTCATAAAGTTGCATGTGTAATTACATAGACTATAAAACAGTTATTTTATATTATATAATATACCTCCAGTTATTGACATTTCATGGATCAAAAAAAATAAAAAATCTAAAACAATATTTTAAGAATATATATAAGGCAAAAACAGTGTACTTATAATCTTTCTTGGATTTCATGATGTCATAAAGTTGCATGTATAATTACACAAATAAAAAATGTTTAAAATTAAATCAAATGAAGCATGTCACACTGCATGACATGTCACCAACCAATGCATTCACCTGCAGAAAACATCTGTGAGTGTACAGATGATATACTCAGAGAGACCAGGCCTAATGGTCAAGTACTGTACTAATAGCTTGTGAGTCAGAATTTACAAATGTGTTTTATCTAGCAGTGGTTTTTGTATGTTGCTTTCAAAAATGAATACAAACCACAACAGCATGCATTCAGCCAGAAGTCAACTGTGTATAAAGGTTGTTTTTACAAATTTCATAAAAGTAAGAGCGGTGCAAATAAATGCATTTATGAATATATGATTTGCTGTTTCATGAATTGTCTTGTTTTTCATAACTGTTTTAATTTTTGTTTGTTGACGGGTTCCATTATACATTTTTATTTTGCCCTCTGCTGGTCAAAGAGACTTACTGTTATAATTTATCCACCTCCTACAAACGGAAAATGCTGCATCAGCTGTCACCAATAGGATCCAGATTTTTTGGTTGTTTTTACAAATTTCATAAAAGAAAGAGCGGCGCAAATAAATGCATTTATGAATATATGATTTGCTGTTTCATGAATTGTCTTGTTTTTCATAACTGTTTTAATTTTGCCTATAGGCTGTTTGTTGACGGGTTCCATTATACATTTTTATTTTGCCCTCTGCTGGTCAAAGAGACTTACTGTTATAATTTATCCACCTCCTACAAACGGAAAATGCTGCATCAGCTGTCACCAATAGGAACCAGATTTTTTTTACATCTCATCTGATATATTATTTCCTTTATGGCATCTCAGGAAATCAAAAATACGTAGGCCCTACTTGACAATCTCATCAAGTTCCTACTTGAACAGGATGAACTGTTTGTGATGGTAAATGTCTATAATGTTGTTTGTGAGTTGTTAAAACAGGAGTGTCTTTTTTATTTACGTATATATTTAGCTTATATTTGTGCCTTTGAGGACTACAAAATTGTGCACACTGGGACTACAAATCCCAGTGACTTTAGTCGCCGTGCACAACAACCGCACGCGGGGGCGGGAACCACAAAGCTTCTGTTTACAGCTTAATCACATTAAAATACAAGCAATAGCGGAAGTAAAGAAGCTAGTGCTAGATAAGTAATCAGCTGCAGAATGTGCATTTGAGGATACTGCCTGTCAATCAACTGGCAAAAATGTCGTTTATTTACACGCTGGATAGAAAAGCAATAGGGCATCTTGTGCTTGCCTGTGAGGAAGTGTGCAGTGTATAAACAACAGTCCAAAACACACACACGAACCAACCTGCTGTCTTATCATAACGCAATAAAATGAAACAAGCGTCAGATACAGGAGGTTCAAACGAGGTCGCTACGCAATTCGTGCGGCGATGAAGCAAGTTTAATAACGTTGACTTTTTATGAGCAGGCACATATTTAGAGCACCTAAAAAGTCGAATCTAGGCTAATCCCGCCCTCCGCATTCCATGATTGGACAGTGAAACGAGGGTTTCCAGAATACGCGCGCACCATTGGCTGTTGCAGCTGCCTTTCGCGACGTCATCAGGCGATCGGACTATATAAAGCGCCGAAAGCCCCGTTCCTCACAGTCAGCGAGACTCCGCAGCTTGTTATTAAGTTCAGCCGAGTAAGTGCAGTAGTTTAGGGGTTAAAACAATAAACAGAACGCGACCATTGTGATCAGTTCTTCCACACAGCCTGCCGACATTATAAAATAGTGTTCGTTTGTTTTTCACTAAGCGTTATTTTGAAGGGGCGTGTCCTCTGAATGTGTTATTTTGAGTTCGAGATCCTGGTTAGGTGTCTCTTGGTTTTCTCTCTTCTGTTTTCTTCGTGCTGGTTTTGCTGTGTTGTGTATTATTCATGAATGCCGTTTGGAGGCGGGCGCGCTGACTCTGAAGGTGGGTGGACCTTTCGCGAACGCTGACCAAACGTTTACTTTCTTTATGCACACTTGACACATATTGTCAGGAGCTCATGACATCAAAGCACTTCTTTCGTCTGACTGTCTTAAGTTCTGTGTTTTTTATATTTTATGTAAAAAAAAAATTTTTTCGGTTTAATTAGCCTTTGATTTAAATAGATTAGATTATATAATGGCTGTTGAGCTAAATGTAGTCAAAAACCTAAACGATTATCTGTAAGATTCTATCTTAGTAATTTCTACTATAATTTAGAACCCATCAGTTTTGAATAAATACCTATGCTATTTTCCCAAGATTTACATGCATATACATATATACATGCATAAATAAAGAAATAGGACCGGACACTAGGCAGAATCATTTCAGTTAATCTGCTAATTGCACACTTTTTTTGGAACTCCCTAATATATTAGGTAATGTATAGTTAATTTGTGGCTTATATATATATATATATATATATGCCACAAATTAGGATCTTTTGGTCTTGGATCTAAATGGTGAAATTCCGGTAGGAAAGCAGTACCATCTTTTGAGTAGGTATAGTAATGATTTTGTAAATAATTTTATGTGCATTTGGCTTTGTGGATGATTGCTTATTGCTTTCATTTCAGACCCATGCCTCCTCCAGTGTCAGCCTGAAAAATGATAGAGATGTCATTTGACAAAGAAACTGTTTTATCTTGTGAGGGGCAAACAGACCCCACTTCCCAACAGCACTCAGAACTGACTAGAAACGATACCAGCACTCTCCATCCGTCCGGGAAGACCACAGTTATAAACCTCAGCAAAGAGCCTGGTGAAGAGGCAGGGAGTGAGACATCGCTGGAAGACCGAGAGAAAACCGCTACCACAGATAACAATGCTATAAGTGAAAGTGGGGTTGCTGGGGTCGAATCGTCTGCACAGAATGGCACCCAGCAGCCCAAACCTCAACAGCAGAAAGTCAGTAAGCGGCGCAGCACGATGAGCGCTGGATTCAAACACCCCGGTTATGGTAAACGCCGCCGCCGTGCCAACTCTGAGAGCGAGTCGGTCCTGCCAACCAATTTCCTGCTGGGCGGGAACATTTTTGACCCACTCAACCTTAACAGCCTTTTGGATGAAGAGGTGAACCGGGCTCTCAACGCAGAGACGCCCAAGTCCTCGCCATTGCCAGCCAAAAGCAGAGACCCTGTAGAGATCCTGATACCCAGAGACATCACAGACCCCCTGAATCTCAACTGCCCCGGTGCAGGGGACAGCAGTCTGTTGGTGTCTCCCCTGAAAAGTGGCGGAGGCAGGCGAAGACATCGGAACAAGCACCATGGAGCGAGCGCTGGGAAAGCTTCTGGTGAAGGAGTAGTCGCACAGATCGATTTACAAGAGTCTAATGGCAGTGCAGCAGGACAAGATGAGGGAACAACAGCGCTCTCCTTAACGCCTCCGCACTCAGGCGCTGTGGCGGACACACTTGCTCCTGAGGACCAAACCCAGTCGGACTCGACTCTTGAGGCTCAGGGTTCAAATAAGCCCAGTTTAACCACAAACGGTGGTGAGGTGAAGGAGAAAACCATTGACATGTCAACCGCACCTCCGTCCACCAACCCTCCATCAAGCAGGCAGCGCAAACGCAGGCGGGCCGGAAGCAGACTGGAGAATGCAGACAGTTCAGATGGAATGAGAAATTGGGGTCAGAGATCTGGGTGGCATTTTCAGCCCTCTCACACCCCAGGATCGTGCTCTCGCAGCGGATCTGCAGAAAGGCCGCAACAGCATCCAAACCACTGGAGGTCGCAGAGCAACCAGCACCAACAACAGACTAAACCGAAGTTTCAGTATGGCAACTATAACAAATACTATGGTTATCGCAACCCTGGGCTGAGCGAGGATCCTCGTATCCGTGTTATGAATCCCGAGTGGTTCAGAGGGAAGGAGGTTTTAGATCTGGGTTGCAACACCGGCCACCTGACTCTATCAATCGCCAAAAATTGGCGACCGTCTCGGATTGTGGGCCTGGATATCGACGCAGCGCTGATACATGCTGCTCGACAGAATATACGCCACTACCTCTCTGAGGTTCACACGCAGCAGGCCAGACGCTCTGGGGAAAATGGGGAGGGGAATCGAGGAGAAGGGAAGGAGGGGATTGAGGGGGATTTAGTAGAAGAAAAGAGTCAGAGGAAGGAGAAAGACGAAGAGAGTTTAGTTGCGAAAGA